CTAGAGGGTTATTTTGGTGGCTTCAAAGACTTGCAGTATGAAAGCTGCTTAATGAAGGACAATAAGCTTTACCTTGTATTTAGCCAATCATGAATATTCTGTTCATTGAGAAGCAAACAAAGGTGACAACACATACACAGTGAGAATAGTAGCATTGTGTCCATGCTTAGATCATTTGATTGATTGAAATTTGAAAATTGATATGATTTTTTATGAATTCTCCCTGGGGCACTTTAAAGGGACGAATCATCTCTGTAATCCAGAGTATTTAAAGCGACACCCCTCCATTTTATTACCCCCATTATTCCAGGGTCAAAGATAACTTACACGTAAGAATGAATCTTTAGAATATCTAACTGAGTTGTTACAGCTTTGACCACAGATTGCAAAATAAAAATCAACAACCTGATTTTTCTTCCAGAACGGTTCTATGTAAGCATTCACCCTGTGAGTCTGTATGTCTCAGTTTTTTTCACAGCCCTTGTCCTGGCCATGGTGTGCATAACAGCTGTGTTTTTGGATCAGCAGCCAAATTCCAATCCTTCGTCCATTCATATCAGTTATCCAGTACAGATATGCACCCTTCCAGTCACATACTATTGGGGATAACTTGTCAAAAATATGATTCAGTATTTGGGATAAATTTGGCAAGGTGCTTTTAATTGAACAATAGCAATATGACCTAACACAGAATCCAATAGGACCTTTACAACCTCAGGCAAGACAGGTCTCTCACCTTGCCTCTAAGTGAAAACACATATGCTGGACTGTTTGCTCAATGGAATATTGGAATTATGATTTTGATAGTTAAGCCAAATAAATGTGACTTGGAATGAACCAGGGAGCTGCTGGAAGAGTGAAGATGGGGTGGAGGGGGGAGGAGAATGAATATCAGCTGGTGAGATATTCATGTGGAGGCAAGTGGTAGTGGCTGTATGTTCCTTCAGAATGTCTGTTTTTTTAAATCATTTTAGTATATTAGTATATAGCATATAGCATATAGCATATAGCATATAGCATATGGTATATAGTATATAGTATGTATATATTAGTATATTATTTAGTACAAACATACATTTTAGTATATTATGATATAATATTTTTTTCATATATTGCTTTACACCATCAAACATTTAAATGTTTTATGCATTCTGTCCTGTAGAGATGCTGTGAAGATAAACCCGAATTCAGGTAGGAATTCTTCTTTTCTAAGGAAAATCTTGAAGAAAGTTTAATTATTCCTGAAACTGATATTATTGTTTTGTAATTTGTTTAGTTTACAGCATGAAAGTCTATTAATCTGGATTTTCCTGGTCCTCCATTCACTGATTGGCTGAAGAATGTATTTTGGTGTTTATTTCAAGAAATATGTTTAAAAGCATACTGAATAGAAAGAGCACAGAAAAGTCAGATTATATAAGGATCTGGCTTTATCAAACTCTTATTCCCTGAAAGAAGAGCAACAATGATCAACTGCACAACACTGTAGTTTCTAGAAACTATTTTATATAGTTAAAATTGTCACTATTCAGTTTAGTGGATTTATAAACTTTATTTGCAGATAATAGGCTAGATGTTAATACTGTTATTTACTGTTACTATGTTTTAATACTTGTGATCTAGCTTAAGGGCTGTACATAATAAACAGTCCTGAGCTGTGGAAGAGAAAGCGCTTTTAACCTCTAGTTGTGAAACAAAAAACAATACTCTTTGAGGAAATAATTACCTGTGCTAGAGAACATTTATACTGTATAACTTACAGTTTTCAAACTACAAAGTTGAACCGCTCAAAAGAAGATTAATACCCAGATGTACTTAACCTATGATTGGAACTGGTGGAGTAGGAGCTGGGAGTGCTTCCGATATGGAGTCCAGAGTAGAAATACAGAAATACTGTATTACAGTGATCTGCGCTATAGAAAGTCTGAGGTGTTTTAAAAAATTAAATTTGACTTAATATGTGATGATCAGCAGACATTTTGCAACATTGAAAGGGTTTGGTTGCATTCTACATATACATCAAAATTAGTCCGAAAATCCTACATACATGAATTTGAAATATATTAATTGTGCTTGCATTTAAGATATGGATCTGAAGACAAGGGCTAACAAAAATCTTGAGATGACTTTGCTCCCTGCAATCTTTTTCTTTATGTCTTAGGTCTACAATAGCTTACTGTATATAATTTACAATATATGTAATTAATCACATCTTAAATGTTATTGGCTTATGGTGGCCTCGGGTATGTTTTTCATTTAGCCACGTGTAAGTTGTATCTCAGCTGTGTTATCTGTAAACACTGTCTTCAACTGTGTTACCTGTAATCACTCTCCAGCTAGGACTGCAGTTCATCCCCCTGCACAGAGGTGGCATGACAAGTGCAGATGTTTTGGTCTGAGGCTCTGATATCTTCAAGCAGCAGGGACACGTTGCCTCTCTCCAGCTCCTGATGGAACAGCTGCACTCTGCCCTGGTAGCCTGGGCCTTCTGTCTCCCTCCTGTCTGTGTACTGATGGACCAGCTCACCAGAGCTCCCTTTGTACCACCTCACCTCCAGAGACACGGCACTCGTCTCAGGTGTGAGGTGACAGGGCAGGACAATCTCTTGTCTAACATATTAAAAAACTACAAAAAGTCATTGATCTCAATTGCCTTCTATGACCTACCATTTCTTACTCATTCAAGCAAGCTTGCAAAGCCAGACTCATCTCTGTGTTGAGCTAAGATGACAATACATGCTGAATTAAAACTTGAACTTGAACTTTATTGCCATATGTAACCGGTACTGGTACAATGGAATTCTTACTGACAGAAAGTCTCTCGATTGTAAAACAAGTGTAAAAAACAAAACAAAGTGCAAACAGTGCATCAAGACAATATACAAACAGTAGACAATGTGCAAGTAAACATGTAGAGAGTTTGAATGTAAACAATACAGACGTGTAAACAATGACTGGAGAGGTGTAAATGTGGGGATTGGTGTCTGAAAGCAATGTGTGGGCTTTAATACGAGGCTTTTCCATGAGTGATCAGTATTGGAGAACAATTATCTGTCACGATATTAGTTCCCCCTCCTTAAGGGTGCTCCAGCCCTTTCACTAGGACTTTATTCTCTGCACCTGTTCCCTATCCCCAGCCCACCTTAAAAGCCAGGCGCTGACGCTCATCCGGGCTCTGCATCTGATTTCCATATCGTGCGAGTCCGGGACCTGGAAGCGCCTGGTCCCGTTAAGGTTTTAA